CACTTATGAAAGTCAACATCTAGACTCCAGAGAATAGATATTTGCACTATGTTCTGAACAATGTCACCAACAGACAGAAGAAACATAAATCGGCAAGAAGGGATATACTCCTAACTAACCAACATATGATGCGATTGCTCTCAACAAATCACTCCTTCACTCGTGTGTAACGCTGCATTAATCATTTACATATTGAACCTTGGAATTCGCAGCCTTTGCAGGACTTCATCTATCCCCACACATTACAACAACACACACGGAAATTATCACCCATAATACAGAAACAGGCGGCTGGCGGCAAAGCCTGACCTCTGCTCCCAGCCGACCCGGGTTCAAACCCGCCTGCCGACCTCTCGGGTGTGTGGAGGGGTGTTGAATTGGGAGGTGGCCCCCCATCTTGTGGACGGTGTAGGACGTGATAAAATCAACTTGCGAGCTGACCAGGAACTAAGTTGAGGCGCCGTTGATCCGCTAGATTTGGTTGGATGCCGGTGGTGAGTTGCCAAACTCAAAGAGTACACTCTGAAGTCGGAAGGGGTGAATGGATTAGGGTGCCCCTCTAGCAGGGGAGAGCAGGGAATTGCCTCGGGAAGGAGGCCACTGGTGAAGCTTAACCACCCTGCAACAACAAAAGAGAAACAAGTATGGCAGATAGCGACAACAACTTGGAACCCACATGTACAAGTGCCAAATAAGCAAGGGAAATATCTCTTAATAGATATATATAGATATACTGCAACAGACAGTCGACAGCACGTTGCTACTTTTTTTACGTCGATCCTGTTAAGGGGTGGCTTCGGGACATGGAGTCGTGCAAATATCATATACGGCTTGCAGGAACTCGAGCGAGAAGGCGGCATCATGCGGCACCCGACTTTGCAAAGCCGCTACAGCTGGCCATAGCGCCTGCTGGTCGCCAGAGTGACCACCACCACTACCGCCACCACCACCGCCACCACCACCGCCACCACCGCCACCACGGCCACCACCGCCACCACCGCCCGTCAATTTTCCAGTCCGAACGGATAAATAGATTATTAGTCGCGGGAATAAAAGTATTCTTAATCTGTAAGGCGCTGGGGGGGCTACACCCCCCCCCAGACACCCCCCGATGAGTTACAGTTTAGTTCATACAAACACCGGGTTGGGGAATGTCACAATACGTGCACACCACAATATCTCCAGATATGCATAATGCACTGCGTCCATGTGTGTGTGTGTGTGTGTGTGTGTGTGTGTGTGTGTGTGTGTGTGTGTGTGTGTGTGTGTGTGTGTGTGTGTGTGTGTGTGTGTGTGTGTGTGTGTGTGTGTGTGTGTGTTTTACATGGTTGGGGGTGCATGACCCCATACCTGTA